CTTTTCCATCACTGCCCCCCCACCTTGGCAAACTTAAAGTCCGTTTTCATTGGCTGTTGTCATTTTCCCTCTGCTGCTTTTCATAAAACACAAATGAGTGAGGTCGATACAGAGCAGACAGCAGACAGAGCCAGTTTCTGGGTTCTTGGTGACTCTGTAAGTATAGCATGCGGATTACCTGGTGTTTTCAGTGTTTTAGCTCTTTTTTTTTTCAGCTCACGAGAGTCCAACAGCAATCTTTATGTCCAGGACAGCTACCCTAGCAATTCTACCCAATCACCCCATGATCTGTGTTCATGGACTCTCTCTAGCCATGCCTCTTAGCTATTTCTGTTGCCTGGTTATGCCATATGTAAATAAGGTCTTGAAAACCGATCAGTTTGGTTGGTTACAAAATGATTAAACAGATCGCCTATATAATGACCAATCAAAAGCCTTGATTTTTCTGGCCCTAGTTCCACTCCTATCTACTAAGATCATCCAGCACTGGCTTTCCCCTTCTTATTTTGCTCAACATGACACTTTGTAGAAAAATGCAAGATTTCATCTTTTCTTAGAGTTGAATGGTATTTTATTGTGCATATATACATTTACTTTACCCACTCAGCTGTTGCTGGACACTTGAGATGTTTCCAGATCTTTTTTTTTTTCTTTTTGGGTCACACCCAGCCATGCACAGGACAGGAGTTACTCCTGGCTTATTCACTCAAGAATTACTCCAGGCGGTGCCTGGGGGACCATATGGGATTCTGGGAATCAAACCCGGGTTGGCTGCATGCAAGGCAAACACTCTACTTGCTGTGCTATCGCTCCAGCCCATTTCCAGATCTTGACTATTGAAAATATTACTTCAGGGAACATAGGTGTGCATTTATGTTTTAGAATTGGTGTCGAACAGATTTTGATACTTTCACAGAACTAAGCACTTTTTCCACTTTCCATTTGATTTCTTCCATCCATATTTTGCTCAGAGTTGTTTAGTTCCCAAGTATGTGGAAATATATGGCAGGAATCAAATTCGAGTTGGCCACCTGCAAAGCAAGTGCCCTATCCACTATTCTTGGCTCCACTTTGAATTTTATTTTTTCTGGCTTTTTAGGTCCTAGTCGGTGATGCCTTAGGGATTACTCTGAACTCTGCACTCAGGAATTACTCCTGGTGGTGCTCAGGGGACCACGTGGGATGCCAGGGATTGAACCCAAATCAGCCGCATGCAAGGCAAACGCCCTACCCACTGTACTACCACTCCGGCCCCTCCACTTATAATTTTTCATAGCTTCCATTTCTTAGCATTCTTAGTCTTTCCTTTCTTCTATTGACTTTCTTTCCTTTCTTCTATTGACTTTCTTTCCTTTCTTTTCATTATGGGATTATTTTACTGCTTCTTTTTACATCTTGTAATTTATGTGTTTTAGGAGCTTTGAACTTTTATGTTGCTGGGCGTTAGCTGAGATCTATATAGATTACACATATTGTGTAACATTTATCATACACATACACACATTTTAACTTTATTTTTCCCGAGTAACAACCGTTTCTTACAGTCTGAACCTTCCCAAGGTTGCTTTCAAAATTGAGTTCAAAATTGAGTTTGAACTCAAAATAGACCATAACCTCCCAAGCACTCCCAAAGACTCTGACCAATGCCCCTAGCTATTTCCAGGTGCACTCTGGATAGTGAGCCAGTCCAGTTTTACTCCAGTTTCACAGCATTTGGTTGATCTCACACAGCTGGGCTTGTGGACAGCCCTTTACAAATCTAGCGAGCGAGCTCCTTGCTCTCCTGTTCTCTGCCCTGAGGACGGCCTTCCCGCCCTGACTTCTCTTGTTTTCTCAGTTCAAGGACTCTGCAAAGCCCTCGAATCCCTTTCTCCCCACCTTCAGGAAGGAAGCTGGGGTGACTGGAAGGCTCTTGTCCAGTTCTTCCCTCAGACATGTTTCACCTATCTGGAAACCATCTCCCCTCTCCCCATATTTGGTTTTCTGCTTTTAAAAATCCAGTATTTGTTGTTCTATTTTGCCCAGAAGTAGAAATGACTTTATTGGACATCAGATGTTTTACAAATGTTATTTTCATTATTCTAACAGTATATAAGGCAGGCTCTGCCCTCTGAGGGAAATAGATTCTTATCCCTGCCCTTGAAGTGAGGAAATCTTGCCTTCTCAGTGAAGAGCCAGTTTTCATTTGCATTTTATTTTTCACACGAATAAGCAGACGCCTACTCCCATGACTTTTGTAAGCCTCTTAGTCTCTCAAAAGCTACGTCAAGTATTTTCAGAGTTAATTTTATGACAAAAAAAAAAAAAAGGTTTGGGGGCTGGGATGATAGTACACTAAGGTGCTTGCCTTGCATGCAACCAACCCTGGTTGCATCCCCGGAACCCCTGACTCCCTGGCAAGAGTGTTCTCTGAACATGTAACCAGGTAGGAGTAAGCCTTGAGCACCACTGTCTGTGGGCCCCTCCATGAGGGGGGGAAGCAAATGTATGGGTAGATTTAGGAATTGAAAATTCATCCCACTTTAGAGGAAGAAGGAATTCCCCGGCTTCACCACAGGCTGATTATTTCCCAAAGTAGGATTTGGCCTACTTAGCCTGCAGTTCCTGTGTGCTGCCTTCGTCCTGCTTCCTCTGAGGTACTCCCTGAGCAGGACCAGGGGCAGTTTCTCCCTCTCCAATTACCCACCCCCTCTGTCTCTATTAGAAAAATCTTTGCTTCAGTGGGCTGTCTCCCAGGACCCACGAGAGGGCCTTGCAGCCAAGCCACTTCACAGCTTTGCTTTAATTGTTGATTTTTGCAATATAACTGCACAGTCGGAAGTGGATACTCTTAAGAAAAAGATGGATCCTTCAGTGGCCATGAAGAATGTGTTCAAATCTTAAGGGAAAATGAAAGAAATCAGATCGAAGTAGGTTCTTATCATTTTTAGGATGACTTCTGCACCATTTGTATCCTTTTTAAAATTTATTTTTGATGAGAATGGGGAAATAAAATCAGTATCTCAAAGCCACATAAAAAAATATACCAGGTGCTTCAATGTGATTGAAGAGTGAAGACTCACTAGGAGCTGGCAAGAGGGATACAAAGGGAAGAAAACATGGAAACTATAAGCCACAACATCCTAACATGAAAATCTGAGCTCACATATTAAGAAAGGCACTGATTTGGCGTTGAGCCTCTGTATTGGATGCCTGTGGCTGTTCTAGCTACATCTGAGGGGGGCTTCAGATCTGTCTGCACAGTGCTGTGAAGCGTGCAGGTGGGCAAGCTGTGCTCCTCAGAACTCCGGAGCCCCAGAATTTCAGTCCTTTGCCAGTCATAAATGCTGGTTGTCACCACCTGCCCTATAATTAATCTTCAGGACGGAATTGTATGTTGTGACTTCTCTTGACAGTCCTTTGCAGCTCAGATACTCCATTTGCTGTGCCTTTTCATACACCGATTTCACATCAGACACTGAGCTGAGAATGTCAGATCCCTTGCATGAGAGAATCAAGAAAGGTTAACTGATTTCACTGGTGCCTTAAGTTCAAGAAACCAGGCAAAACTGCAAGGCATCTCATTCTAAATTCAGTTCCTTCTGCAGAAAGTGCTGCCTTTATCCTCCCAGGACTGGTGGAAGACACTGGGACCAACCCTATCGCTAAGGATTTAGGATCGTTCTCATGTTCTGCTCATTTGGCACTCACTTACCAAGCTCTTTGTAGTTTTTAGGTAAATTTTCCCATGAAGGCAGCAGGGTCTTGAAACAAGCTTCCTAAATATTTTACACTAAATTTCTTTGACTTCTTATCAGTGTATGTTTTATTTGTATGCTTGTTTTATATACACCTATGTAGTGGGATTGCAGAAAAATGTTTTGGGTAAAAAGTACAAAAAGTTTGAGTAGTTCTGGTCTAGAATGTGGGCGTGCTATCTGGAGGCCACCCCTGAGCTGTGCTTCAGAGTCCCTGCCCTCATTTGGCACTTTGTCAACTATCAATTTGAAATAGGAAAAGTTCAATTCAGCTAATGCAGAGAGGGGCAACAAAGTTCTGAAGGATGCCTGGGTTAATCGTGTCATCTTCCTTCCTTGAGGATCTCAGAAACAATGACGCAGGTGGGGCAGGACCTTGGTGGCATCTCAGAATGTCTTGTAGAATGTTTAATGGCTAAGCTTTATAACAATTTGTTAACTTCCAGATTAAATAATGATTTCTCATATGGACAACTCACTGGTAGAAATCTAAGCTTGTTTCCTTGAAAATGAAACATAAAATCAAACGAACTGGTATTTCCAGTACTGATTTCCAGACTCCCACCCTTTTCGGATGGAACCAAATTAGACACACACACACATATATATTTTGGGGTCACACCTGGCTATGCAAGGGGTTACTCCTGGCTCTGCACTCAGGAGTTACTCCTGGTGGTGCTCAGGGGACCATATGGGATGCTGGGAATTGAACCTGGTCGGCCGTGTGCAAGGCAAACGCCCTACCCGCTGTGCTATCTCTCCAGCCCCACCAAATTATAAATTTAAACCAAACAATTATATGCTACTCATTTTCTGATAACTGACTCCTCTTCCATAGTTTTCTAAACTCAGAAGTAAATGAAAGCAATGCTGGTTTTGTTAAGCGTTCAGTAAAACATCCCTTCCTCTCATAGTTGTATGTTTTGTAGCTACATTTAATTCTTAGCTGTTCCTTGAGTACCAAATGTGTGTGTGTCTGATGTAAAACATCAGTTTCATGAGTCACCCTTATTATCAACAGACTTCACATTTTCTAGTAGTTGCCCCAAGGTCCCATGCGTACACTCTTTTCATAGCACTGAACACTCTATATTCCAACAACTGTTTTCCCTTTGGAGATTGTGATACAGATATTACTCAACTCCGTGAACCCAGGCACATAGTAGATGTTTTTAAAAAATAACCTTGATGTGACAAAAATTATATGGAAAAGGGCTAGGCACACCGCTATTTTAAAATCTGTGTTTTGAACTTTTTATATAGGATTTGCTGTAAGTCTTCAAGTCATCTTATCTAATCCAAAAGCTGTATTTAAGCGCCGTGGGTCCCAGCCAGGCATGCAAGAATCTGACTTTCTAAAACAAATAACAACAGTTGAAGAACTGGAACCAAAAGCAAGTAACTGCACCAAGGTATTCATTTCACTTGCTGTTTGACATCTTGTTGGGTGTCAGCATAAGAGGAAGGCTACCCAAAAGATTTTCCTCCCCTCTAGGTTCTCGTGTGGCACACGCGGACAGAGAAGGTTAATCTAGCCAACGAGCCAAAATACCGTCTGGACACAGTGAAAATTGAGGTATGAACTGAAGCAGCAACTGGAGCCATCTGCCTGGCCAATAGGTGAGGAGGAGGCTGTTTGGAGGTCCGCCTCAAAGCATTCAGGTACTGTTCCTTTTACATCAGTACAACAGTCTTCAGCCTTTACTGCCAGCCGATGGACATCTGTTTAAAAAGAGCTTGTTGGTAACATAAACAGTTTGGATGGTGTAAACTGTTATGCTTTTGTCTTCATTTGTTCTGCATGTTTTCCTTACAACTAAACTGGAAGGTCTCTGTACAGTCCAACTAAATGACACTGTAGGCATCATTCTGAGTATCTTAAGTGCTCCCTTCCCAAACAGTGATTCGGTCTCATAATTGATATGAGCAGGCCTTTTAAACTGATGACACGGTATTTTTCTAACAAAATGTTCCTGTTGACACTGCAATGTTAATTTTTTGAAAGTTGGTGGCAACATATATATATATATATATATACTATAGAAAATAAAACCCACCAAAAAAGTCTATGGATTCATCAGTTTAATATAGGGATATAACATTTTATCAATACTAGGCACCATAAAATGTAAACACAATTACTGTCATAAACCTGGATATACCTTCAAGGACTCAAAGTGGCTTTGTTTAGTTACCCTGTTTGCGTATAGTGCAGAGTTCTTTATGTTAGCACTATGTAAGTTTAATAGGAGTTCCAAATTACAAGTGGCAGATAAAATTTGAATTCTTTGACCATTCTTTAAAACTAAGTTTTGTAGTAACATCCAGGTTTATCTTCCTTTCACTAACCACGTTCCCTGTTAAGCACATCATAACAACAGCACAGTGAAGTGAATGATGAAATAAAAGAATCTTGATACACTAGAAAACAGTGCTCAGTGATACATTTACATTCTATTTATATGATTAAACAGCTGATCATACAGTACCTCCCTACAGGATTACTGGCTAATTTGGGGGCGGGGTTTACACTGTTAGAGGTATTACTAACATGATAACTACTTCCCTTACATATGCAACCATTAGAGCTATAATTTTACTGAGAGTAAAACTGATTATGCAAGTTGAATGAGCAGCTCCTCAAAAAATGTGGTTCATGAATCATGGGAAACATGAGCAAAGCTGCCCTTGACGTCGGTTTTTCACCACATCAAATTTAATCAGGACAGACCAACACGGTCAATCAGATAATCCCTAATATATGAACAAATGGATAAAAAGAAAAAAATATATATGTACATGAGTAAACAGGGGAACTAGATGCGTTTTAGCAAGGAATGTCAGGTGGTAGTTCTGGATGAAACTTGTGTTGCAGCTTTCATTTCCACAGTTGTGTGCTGAGAGTCTGACCCGATGAGCTTCCAGACCATCCTGCTGTTGTGCTGGGGGGCTGGCCAAACCCCACCGCAGGGTTTGTACTGCTGAGGCTCATGCCAGCCATTTGCTGATTCATCTGTGAAACAGGGGAAAGGTTTAAGAGACATTTTTCACTTTTAATTCTTCACAGACATTTTAGGGTACTCTATTACTAGCTGCCTTTGAAGTTGATTTAGTCAAAGTTACTGTGGTTTCAGAGCAATGAAAGCATTCTTCATCAATGTGAAAATAAACTAGGTAAAGCAGACTATCATACAATTATTTCTGAACAGAAACCAAATAGTTTTTTGTTCATTGGTACTACGTTTCTAGATTCAATGTCTTGTCCCATCCCAAACTAATCAGAACTGAAAAGAATTATCAAAGCAATCTCTGAATTTATATCTGAGCATATTATGAGTATGTTACTTTAAGGTATTGTGCTTTATTCAAAAATTATACATTGATATCTAATAGCTATTCTATGAATTCTCTAAAAGTCATCAAGCAAACCTCTTTCCTTATCTAATTATGGACATCTAAAACTATTTTCATTATATATGTATATAAGTACCTGAATATTATTTCTGGCAGTAAGAGCAACCTCAGCTTCTTACTGGCTATGCAAGAAGTTACCGGCATTTGGTACTTGAATATTTTTTGAGATTCCCAGAGACTTGCTAGAATGAGTCTTTTAAACAGAGATAAATCTCCAGAGATCATTCCTTTACTACTCTAAAGGTAACACAGCTAACCAGAAGAGAAATATGAAGCGAAGGCCTTTATCTTAGAGCCAGAGAAAAATCAGATGGGCCTGCTAAATCAGAAACTGACTTCAAAGTAGTAGTACAAAAATGCCATCTCTTGGCTCTGAACAAATAGGATGTCTGAGACAAATATGGTCATTCTCACCTCTTAGAGGAACTCATGAACTAGGAGGTAGTATTCTCACTTATCCTATCTTATCATAGGATAAGTGAGGAAAAAATAGTGTTTTAAAAATCCAAGTGCAATACCAACATGACATGGAGAACAACTTAGATTAGTGGCCTTCAAGCTTTTTACATTGTTAGTTGAAAACCACTGAACTATATAGATCTCTCACAAATTATTTTTAATGAAATGATTAAGGAAAAACAGGTTTTTATTTTGGTTGGGGGCCATACCTGGTAGTGCCCTACCTGCTTACTCTGCAGCCTATGGAAGACAGGTTTAGGATCGATTAAGTATACCATAACAACAGGCCATTAGGGAGTCCCAAGATGCCCCGAATAAGAATGTTAAGAGTTATGTAATCAAATTAAAAAAAACAAACAGCTGATTTGTCTAACAACACTTTGTAGTATCTGTAGCCAATTTGCATTATGCAAAGATGCTAGTGGTAAACAGAAATCAACCCATTTAAAAAATGATTCTCGTTGCGCCCTACCTGTGACAGGCTCCACTGGGGCGGCTGAGCTTGTGGCAGACCAAAGTGACTCTGGGGGGCACCCATCTGTCCCACCATTCCTCCTTGGGGGCCAACAACATTCTGAGGAAGTGGCATCACACCAGTTTGTGCATTTCCCATCAACCCATTGGGCATGGGCATGCCCACCATCATGCTTGCATTCTGTCCCATCACGTTTCCCATAAGGCCTGGAGCTGCAGCCACAGGAACTCCCATTGACGGAAAGCCTTGAAATGCAGTGGGTGCTTGTGAGGTAAACGGCATATTTGTGGCTCCCATAAACACACCTATATCATGATAAACATGAAAAGGAAATGAACAGGACATTGTACACAGCTGCCACACCTCTATAATCACAGAAAAAGATTACCAGCTTTCTGAACAACAGCAAAATATTAATTCTAGTCTCACTGCTCAGACAGACCTCAACTCACATCTGCAGAGCTGGTTATGTTCAACATGCAGAGGAAGATTACTAACCCGAGAAAATTTAATGGGGATAAATATGCTATATAAACAAAATATCCTTTGTGAAAATCAAACTATATGAGATTATGTGCTGTTTCTAATTCATACCACCTGTCACCCACTACCAAATAAATGCACGTTTGTGTTCTGTATCTGACTTTAATGGAATCAGTTGGGATGTCATATTAGTTTTAGCTCATATGTGAAATGCAGATCACTTTTAAAGGAAATGGTCTGAAAGATTAAAATTAAAGTTGTAATCTTATTGTACTATTTCATTTTAATTATAATCCTTAAAAAATCAATGTGATAATTCAGAACTGCTTATTACTTGCAAAGAAAATACCATACTATACAAAAAGTTACAGACTTCACACAAGTCAGACTTAATTCTTCAAAGGTTTATCCTACCCACTTGTAAAATATTAAGTGATACGTGAAGAGCTTGTTAATTCTAAATGAATAAAGTTCTGTGAATCAAGTATGTTTTTAACTCGAATGCTTCCTTTATTTCAGCTTTGAAGTTATGTAACACAACTATCCACTAAATAGAAAAAGTATATGTAACCACAAAGGAGATACCACTGAATTCACTGAACATCCCATTTCAAAATGAATTACCAGGAGTATTCTGCTGCTGGATAGTTCCTGTGCCATACAGAGATAAGATGGAGTCTTTGGAGAGTTGTTTCTTTGCCACTTCTTCTGATTTTGTATTTTGTTCAGTGAACAGATCCAAATCCCCAGAAGTGACTGTAGACAGAGTGGCAGCTGCTGGTACAGAGGATGTCCCCTAGTACAAATACCAAACAAGTTGTCACATTTTGAGTGCTAGAACACCAATCCCTTAAAATTATAAGATCGAGAAATTGCTGAAGGTAAACCAGTGACATTAAGAGGCACATTCCCATAGAATACCACATCTAAGTTAATGGTATGACTTTACCTGTTCTGAAGTATGTCATGTAATGAGGTAGGATCAGGTTCTTTTCATTAAAAATTGGTATTTACCTGTTGGATGATGATTTTTATCCATGACACATTCTTACCACAATTGGTTCGATAAGACCTGGGTCTGAAGACCACCCTTGCTAGGCAACTATTGCCTCAAGGAAGTGATATCCTCATGTAAAGAACAATTATACTATTATACACTGCAAGAGAATCTAACAATGACCATTTGTCTTAGTTTTCTTAAAATTGCACTGTGACTTTACATATCATGGAACCTCTCCATAGTAACATCCAGGAAATAAATGACCTACCATATAGAGTGGGCTGGAGCAACAGCACAGAGGGTAGGGCATTTGCCTTGCATGTGGCCAACCCAGGTTTGATTCCTCCGCCCCTCTCGGAGAGCCTGGCAGGCTACCGAGAGCATCCTGCCTGCACGGCAAAGCCTGGCAAGCTACCCATGACATATTTGATATGCCAAAAACAATAACAAGTCTCACAATGGAGATGTTACTGGTGCCCGCTCAAGCAAATCGATGTATAATGGGAGGGCAGTGCAGTGCTACCATATAGTGGGTTCATGACCACAAAAGGTGATTTTGCACAATGGTGGGTTAAAGCACGGTGTTTACTGTTATTGTTGTTAGATAACACAGCAGCTACATCACCAAGTGATCTCTCATCATGTTTCATTTCTATCCAATTTAAGAACTTGCTCTATGTTTTGGGACATACCCTATATAGAAGATCATGACCACAACGGCTGGGAAAGCTGTCACTTCGATCTTACATTAGAACTGCCTAATATTCACATGCTCTCAACATGTGTAATACTTTCATTAAAAACACTGAAAGTCTACTTCAAAATGGATCGTCTATAACCAAACAGCATGAATAATAGCAAATGTCTTACCTATTTTTAGCATTCATTTGCCAGCATGATAGCTCCAGGATAGAAAAACAGCTTATGCTGTCATTTTATGCTTCAGGATGTTTACTACGCCCCCAATTGAAGGCTCTTTGTGTGGTAATCTACAGCTGAGCCAAGGGACAGGTCACAATACAGAAACAGAAAAGAAACGGTTCTTTCTAATGGGGGCTAGGTACTGGACCACCACAACCAGCTGTGCTCAGTGGGTATTTATGGTTCTCTACCCTTGGTGAGAGACCATACGAAGGTGTCAGGGATTGAGCTGGGTTCAGTTATCTACAAAGCAAGTACCTTAGTCTCTGCACTATCTCTTTAGCACCTGGTTTCACTATGTCTTCACTGGGGACTCTGAAACTAGTCCTTGCAAAACCCACTGTACAAATATTCCTGTAAGGGGGCTGGAGCAATAGCACAGTGGGTAGGGTGTTTGCCTTGCGCGCGGCTGACCCGGGTTCAATTCCCAGCATCCCATATGGTCCCCCAAGCACCTCCAGGAGTAATTCCTGAGTGCAAAGCCAGGAGTAGCCACTGTGCATTACTGGGTGTGACCCAAAAAGCAAAAAAAAAACCCAAACCCCCCCCCCAAAACCAAATACTCCTGTAAGTGGAGACCCTCTAATCTCCTCCTTTACATGTAAAGCAGAAAAATCAATCTATCTTATATTCACATGATTGTGAAAATCTTTTCCTAGAGTTCATACTACACTCAGAAAATAACATCAAGAGTGAGAATTTAGGGTTCAGAGTAGTTCTTGCTGGTATCCATTTCTCCTAAGAAAATCCACCACAAGAGAATTCTACAGGACCAGCAGATGCAGAAAACACATGCTTTACAGCTGTCTTCCCCCAACTTTCAAATAACTTATTATTTTTAATCTGGACATGTAATTAGATAATAGTTCTGTTCACCAAATGTTTTATAGGAATCAATAAAGCTGGCATAATTTTTTTTCCAAAAGCAATGTTCAAAAATGGCATTACATGTTTTTAAAAAGTTAACCTGGTTCTGTCAGTTACTAATGCCGAACGCCCAAAGTATAAAGGCCAAACCAGTTTCTCATAAAGGCAGGACTACACCCCATTATAACTCATCATGGTGCTGTTACACTTAATTTGAAGGGAATTCTTCATTGTTCCCTTGTTGCTCTGATACTGAACAATAAACATAAAGTACAATGAAGCTTCAGAAGTGCAGTTCAATTCTCTAAGCAGTCTGCAGCAAAGCAACTCTCAGTGGAACCCAAAGAAGTCTCGTAGATGAAACAGCATCACACTAAAATGCCGACAAAAGAATTGCCTGTCATTCTCAGGCTTTCAATATTTTCTGAAACTACAATATTAGTGTTAAGCTACTTTTATTACATGCATACCGAGGGTAACATAAATTCACCATTAGCCTCACAGATTGAAAATATAGCAGAATATTTAGTCTGCCCCCTTCCTGGCTTTTGGGACACACCTGGCTGTGCTCAGGGCTTTCTCCTGGGGATGGGGGGGGGGCTATCGTGGTGCCAAGGATCAAGCCTGGATCAACTTCATGCAGGGCAAATGCCCTTTTTCTATTGCTCTGGCCCCAGTCCCTATTTTTATAGATGAAGGAAAACAGATAATAATCTCTTTCCGAAAATTAGACAACTTTATAAGGATCCAATTAAACTATGTTTTCTAAGAAGTCTATTTCCTCAAACCTAGTGGCAATTACACATTGACTTTTCTTATTAATAATAAAAATATAAAGTAATAGTCTTCTTAACGAAAGAGACTATTATTAAAACTTACCTAACATTAGATTCAGTTTTTCTAGAGGAAAAAATGTCTTACCTCAAAAATTTATAAGGATAAAATAAATCTTAAAGTTGTCTGTTTAAGAATAACCCTATTACCTGAGAGTCTATATATTTCATCTTAAAGACAGCTACTGATGGTATCATCTGTCTGTGGAATCTTAAAAAAAAAAAAAAAGCCAAGCCTGAAGACACCAATCAGCATGGTTATTGGGAGGGTCTGGGGAAATGTGGTTTTAAGACTATACTCTCAGAAATCACTTATACAGCTTGTGATAAAGTTTCTCTGGTTGCGTAGAGTACCCAAAACCACAAGGAGGAGCCAGAGCATCCTCTTCTGAACGTAAAGCTGGTTCTACGTGTTGCTTCTGCAACTGCCTTTTACCACTGATGATCGTTCTTCCCTTGGAAGAGTGAGAGTAAAAGAATATTCAGTTGTAAACTGAATTAATTCGCTTTGAAGATCTTATGTATGACATGCAAACTATAGTAGATTATACTATTCTGTTGAAATGAAATTTTGTTGTAGTTTTGGGATGATACCCAGCAGTGCTCAAGGCTTACTCCTGGCTCTGTGCACAGGGGACCATACACAGTACCAGGGATCAAACCGAGGTTGGCTATGTGCAAGGCAAGCATCCTACCTGGTACACCATCTCTCTGGCCCCTGTTGGAATGAAATTTACGAAGAAAAAGTTCTCACACATATACACGTAAGGTAAAAAAGTGAGATAAAGGGTATGTTAATTTGGGAATCTATTCACAATGGACATCAAATCATTACACTACGTATTTTATACTACAACAAATCATTACGCTATGTATTCTATACTACATCAAATCATAAATCAATAAATCTGAAACCGTATTTACATACTAAACAATTTTCAATTAGAAAAGAAATAAAGGTTAAAAAATCTATGTAAGATAATTAAGTTATTAAAAAATATTTACCATTCTCATTCTTCAAAATTCCTGATCACTAGTAATATGGTATCTTTTTTATTAATTATTAAGAAAAAGGTAGGTATTACTTTCCTAAGAATGAGTACTAAATGTGCTACCATTGCTTGTTTTTTCCTGTAGCCAAATGGAAAAATAACATGGGGATGGCTCAGTGGGGCCTAAGAATCACGTTCTTCCAGTCGATGTTTATACACCGCAGCTTTAATTGACTTTGTCGATCTTAACAAGAATAAATTTGCCTCCATTTCCCCACATGTTCCTTTTAAACACTGCAACTGGTCTAAAGCATGAGTCAAAAAACTTTGCATGATGGATATTTTAGGATTTCTGGCATAGATAGTGGCTTCTGCAACTTACTCAACTGGCTTGTAGATATGAAAAGAACCGTGGACAATATGTAAACAAATGGACGAGGGTAAATTACAATAAAACTTTTTTGCAAAAAAAGCTGCCCAGGTGGTTGCTTCAGGAGCACATATACTAAAACTGGAATGATACAGAGAAGATTAGCATGGCCCCTGCGCAAGGATGACATGCAAATTTATGAAGTGTTCCATATATATAATATATATATTTTTTGCTTTTTTTTGGGTCACACCCAGCGATGCACAGGGGTTACTCCTGGTTCATGCACTCAGGAATTATTCCTGGCAGTGCTTGGGGGACCATATGGGATGCTGGGAATCGAACCCAGGTCGGGCCGCGTGCAAGGCAAACACCCTACCCCTGTGCTATCACTCCAGTCCCGAGTGTTCCATATTTTTAAAATAAAAAATATTAGAAAAAAATAGCTGCAAGTTTAGTCTGCCAACTCTGGCCCAAAGAACAGGAGACTTTAAGATTAGTGACTGCTCAAAAACAGTCTTTCAAAATTGAATTTTTCGGGTGAGAATGAATAGGACAGTAGGTAGAGCTTTTGCCTTTCATGCATCTGACTCAATCCCTGGCATCCCCAGGTTTGGCCCCAAAACAAAAACCCAAAATTGTAATTTTCAAACTTTCAAAATTCAAATAGTAATCATACGAAACTATACTTGTAGTACATACCTGAGCTGGGGGCATGACAGTTGCTGGTAAGGGATTAGAAATCATCGGCCCAAAGATGTCCAGATCATCATTCAGGGCGGGCACGGCGGTTGTGTTCCCATTGGTAACTGGTGCTTCGGCAGGGCCATCTGAAAAATAAACCAAAAGATTCTGATCTTAAAAATAGAATCTCAGAAACCTTTTTCAGGGGGTGTTATGGTTTGGGGACCACATCCGGCAGTGCTCAGGGCTTATTCTTCACTCTGTTCTTCACTCTGTTCTCTGGGATCAGTCCTGACAGGTCCTGGGGAGATGTATGGGGTGTCAGGGACTGAGCCTGCTACATTCTCCTTCTCTCTCATCATCTTCCCACCCTGACCCTTTCCTTGGCACCGAACCATTTTTACCCATTAATTTCTAGGTGTGTGTTCAAACTGCTCTTTAATAAACAGAATCGTAATATTCACATTTTTTTTGCACCTGGATGTTATTATGTGGCAGGTACCGTTCTAAGCACATTGCATATATTAACTATTAACCACTACCATAATCTTTGAAGATGGGCCTATCTTTTGAGATCACCAGCTAAGCTGAAATTTGATTCCAGGTTCTTATAAATGCCTCTTCTAAAAATGTTTGTTACTGTGGGTTTCATCAGTATGTTTAACTCCCTTGGAAATAAAATTTGGTGACTTAAAATGCTGAAAATATTGACTTTTAAAGTTATAATAGGAAAAAAATACTGGGTAGTAAAAAGAAAAACATACGGTGTGAACTGATTTTATTGGAAATAGTCATAAAACTCTGAAACAACCCATTCTTTATGCACACACGGCCACCTTCAGTGATGGCAGCACGATAAAGGAACTGACAGGTTCCTCTAACATCCTATTATCAGCTTCCCAATTGTCCTATCGTTAAAAAAATTACAATTATATATATATATATATTAGTAAAGAGTTTGCAAATGCTTAAGTGGCTCAAGCTGGAGTATATAGAGAGAACTTGGAAGAGTGAGGTGTTCTGGAAAATGGAAACTCTCAGTTCGATTTTCTGTGGCACAAGAAGTAACAGTGCAGAGGTATGACCACCCTAAGCTGTTATTATCATTCGCTCAAATACTTTTTCTTTAGGACAAATCAGAGATTTGTTGTTGTTGTTGTTGTAAACGTAAGAATTTGGATTTCTAGAAAGCTCTTAACGCTGCTGCTGGATAATCACTGACATTGAAAACTGAAATTAGATAAATTCAATCCATATAATTTCAAACAGCAGCTAAGTTCTGCCACTGTTTCAGACAGAATAGTTTGGGACACACCCCTACATTTGTCTTTTTTGTTGTTGTTATTTTTTTTTTAACCAGTACTGGCATTACTGTTTGATATTTGCAGTTTGCTACAGCATGGCCACCACCAGGATCCTGAGTCAGCCACCTTTTAAAACCTCTTTACAGACCAGAGAAATGGTACAGAGAAATGGTAACTAAGTTAAACTTGTCTCACATGCAACCGACCCCAGCTCCATCCCTGGTGCTGCATTTGGCCCTCAAGCCCTCAAGCAGTCAGGGATCACTTCTGAGCACGAAGACAGGACAAGCCCCTGAGCACTGCTGAGTGTGGCCCCGCTACGCACGAAATAAAAATAAAGTCAGAGACGTCTTACACAGAGTAACTATTCAAATATCTGACAGACTTAACAGACAGTCCGCCACATGCTGGCTATTCCTACCACAAGCCATAAAAAAATAAAAATTTATTCTCTCTTTTGAGGTAGCAGCATAAACAAGTATATTTTATTTCCCTAATTTCAATGAATAATCACATAATTTTTATTAGTGAATTTATAAAAGTGCACGTTAAACAAGAAAAGTTGATTTTAAAAAAACTGCAAATAATAGAATGAGATGTATTTGTCATTTTAGCGTATTATATTTCTATCAAGTATGATTTAGAGGTGAAATTTAAATGTACAGATTAATAACTTATAATATATAAAAATTTTATTTTTTTAAACTTTTTATTTTTTCCTTTTTCTGGGTCGCACCCGGTGATGCACAGGTGTTCCTCCTGGCTTTGCACTCAGGAAATATTCCTGGCAGTGCTTGGGGGACCATACAGGATGCTGGGGATCGAAACCGAGCTGGTCATGCAAACGCCCTCCCCGCTGTACTATCGCTCCAGCCCCCAATGGATAAAAAAAGTTAAACTAAGACTGCTATAAAAAAGTAATTCCAGCATGATATAGCTTTTTCCCCCCCATTTCTAAACCTTTTCAAATGGTCACATTCATTTTGATGTTAGGCTTCTTTAAGAACTACTTTACGTTTTACAGTTCAATCCACGTTACATTTACTTGACAGGTAGGTAAATATGTCAGATAAAACGTTATAAAAGGAGAAAGTATTCCAGATGAAAGGCACTTATTTGTGGAAACTATAATAGTTCAGCAAAGAAGCTCAACTATGGTCTCTGCAGCCTCCTGTGTGTGGCACGGAGAATCCCCAGCACTCGGTCCCAGCACCGGAAAGTCAGGTACACGCTGCCTGGCCACATACACTTGGAAGGAGCTCTAAGGACTCTGAGGACTGCGGGGAAGGCTCACCAGCCCCTCCTGCCCAAGAACAGACAGGACTAGAACTCACACCTTGAGTGTTCACGGGTTCAAGTTCTAACCCTGGCACAACCTGGTTCTTGGAGCACCACCAAGTATAGTCCTGCAGGCGCTGAGTACTGCTGCGGCAGCCACGGTGGCCCATGGCCCCAGTGGGTCACAGTTTGGAACTGTCCAGTCCAGTTGGTGAAGTTTCATCAAGAGCAGATCTGTGCTCCAGAGTAGTGTCTGCAGGCGCTCCTCCTCCCACCAAAAAACAAATGGGGGGGGGGGGGGGGGGCGGGAAATGTTAACAATGACATGTAAGCCAGTGGTGCTTCTGGTCACAAACAAGGACATCAAACCTCATCAAACAGAAATGTTTAATTCTATTATTATGAATGAACAAGGATGTATAGAGGCGTATGACGGTAATTTAAACTCATATGTGGAAGATAATGGTTCTTAGTTAAAAACTTATACCAAAAGGCACAAAAGGAAAAAGAAAAAGAAACAGCTAACCAGTTTTAACTATTTTTAGTTTATCAGTCAAGAGCCGTGCCTTTTCAAAACAGGGCCATAACACAGGATAGCGACTGCCTTGCATGTTGAGGTTCTTTCTGAGTTGAATCTCCACCATCATAAAATAACAAAGCACTTCACTGCTTTTTCAAATAATAGAAACACAAATCAAAACAAATTGTAAAAAACATTCTTAAACACACACACAAAAATACCACTTATTTTCCACAAAAGTGGTCAATTTGGTTTATACAATACTATTGAGTTTAGGATGTACTGGTTTGGGAGACAGCAGGTTTCTTCCCTGACTAGAAGGAAAGGATCTGTTTGCTTGCATGAAACTGCACCTCTTCCAGAATTTTCCATCTAAATTGTACCCCACTGAGAATGTCAACATTTCTATTTTCAGATCTAAATCCTATTCAGTATCTGAGCAGGACATTACCTGATCTGTAAAATAATATATAACACCATTTGGTTCTAAAATCTTATTTTACCCTTAGGATCACATATGTAACTAATACAAGTAATTCAATATTTAATATAGTGCTTTGTTTTGTGCCAAGCCTAAAAATATATAAATGCACTTAAACAGGCAATTATCACCATCTAGATGGCAAAAAAAGTTAAACATGTTTTGTGTTATAAAGCTACACTGAAGGCTTAACATATTATCATATTCAATTCAAAGAAAATAAGGGAGTCTTCTGTAAGATTTTTGTAAAACTATGCAAAAACAAAGGTTCCCCACCACAGGTGGTAGTGATAGTCCCACTAAATGGTACACTTAAAAAAAAAAAAGATTAAATGTCAAATTTATGTTTTGTGTATTTCACACACACAAAAAAAGTCCACCCAAACACATTTTCATGCTTATAAGTCTAGCCTGAAAAACAATCTATACAACCAAAATGTAAAAATACGATATGAAAAAAAGTTATCTTTCGATCAAATTCTGTACACATGAAGTAAGAATCTATGGCATTTATTATGTGAGACCTATCATGTATTCAGTCATAAATTCCTGGGCATTTAGATAGTTTCCAGACTTTCAACTTTACCAAAACAGAACATGAACATCCCCAGTACTTAATATAATGACTACAGAGACCACACCCTTCCCTGGAAGATTAGAATTTTTTGTTTCTCCCACTGCATAGTAACAGCTGGGAGGGCGTTTGCCTTGCATGCAGCCGACCAGGCCTACCGGAGTTCTATTCTTTCGACCCTCTCGGAGAGTCGAAAATACCAAAATACCAAGAGTATCTTGCCCATGGCAAAGTCTGGCAAGGCTTTGAGCTCTCCTTTGTAACCACTTACCAGTTAATGGGCTGTCAAAAGTCAATTTACAATATAAGTCAAAGGGATGCATCTGTTTGGATAGAATTCTCTGTGACAAGGCTGAGACTTTTCAGTGACTGGAAGGATTTCTCTTAGTGCCAAAAAAGGTGAGGAACTTTGTCTGACCAAGGTTCCCTCCCTAATATCCAATCTCATCACAAAAGTAACTCTTTTCTGCTTTCACACCTACAAAACACCCACTGTCTTTTCTCTCTACCTCAGTCTTCTCCCCATATGAATCTCCTAATGTGACAGATTTCAACCCAGTAATTGTCCTTGTTACTACACAGCTAAGCATCTACAGAACTGTTGAAAAACAAATACTATGCTAAATGAAAACTTCTCAGCCATAGAAAATCAATAAATACATATTCCCAATGGATTTTCCCAATGGATTTCAATTTAGCTAATTTGTTTTACTGTATTTGACTTGCTGAAGAATTTCTTTTTTTAAAAGTAAAAAGTTATAGTTTAGGTAACAAGTTTATAATAGTGCTAACTTTTACAATTTTGATTACGCAAAACTGTACTGTACCTCACCACTACTGAAGCGCCCTAGGCCTCCACCACTATCCCTATATCATTGACCTGTCATGGTCTCTCGACCTCCTCCCCCCACACTTAAGTTTTATAATCCAAGGCCAAGGATTTTATGGTAGTTTTATCCTCTCTCCTCCCTTGGGTAAACACGCTCTTT